ACTTGCCTTGTCTCCCTCATCCAAGTAAAAATGTTTATCAGTACTCAATCCAGGAGTTGTGTCAATTACAAACAATGCATTGTCACATGACATATTTCCTCATTCTCCATTTAATGATTCCTTTTGACCATTATTTTCAACAAAACACAGAGTGTCCTCTTCATTCTCACTATTTTCAGACTGCTGGCTTTCATCACTGATGAGAACTAATAAAACAGAATCACCTTTGTCCAGGGATGTATGGGGCTCAGACTTGAATAGTTTGGTTTCACACTCAAAATCCACATCCCTTCCTTCATTCCTGTCTTCACTGATACCTGTAACAGTACACTCTTCTTCATCACTACCACTATCACCAAATTCTGTCAAGTCACTTGTTTTTATGGTGCTCTTTCTCTCTTCATTCCATCTGTCCACTTCTACCACTGCAAATGATTGAGCTAATGATTTCATTATAGCCTCACAGTTCAGATGTGAGGGCTCTGATGTGGTCTCATTATTTTGGGGGGTTGAATGCCTTTGAGAAACTAACCGCTGAATGCCAGTGTCCTGAGGTTCGGAAAGGCTCTCCAACTGAGAATTTTTCTTATTTATTTCTTTTTCCTCATCTACTATTCCCTTGGTTTCTTCATCTAAATTCTTACTATCCTGCTTTGTTATTTCTTTGAGAGGTGCAACATTGGCCTTTTTCTCCTCTCATATTAAAACGTTGGCATTTTTGCACTGTTCGGTTTTCTTTTTTTTTTCCTGAATTTCTGTGGAAGGAATCATCATCGAAGTCATTATGAATTTCATTATAGAAATTTGGCTTATTTATCTGAGGAAGAGATCTTACCAGTAAACAAGTTGTTTGGTATCTGAATCCTCTGAATTCATAGGCACATTTATGATCTGCTTTTCATTTTCTGGTACAATGTTAATATCTTTCTCCTCAGTTTGTGCATGTAACTTCTGCATACTTCTTGTTCTTATAGTTGCAACTCCGGAAAATGAAGAAATGTCTGGGTATGATGACTCAGCATCAGAAATAGCTTCTGAATATAATTCTTGGTTTGGATCTCTTACAGGTTTAGCCTTACTTCTTCTGGTCCTTGTAGTTATTACTGTGGGCGGCACAATTCTAGAAATAACTGAGACATGTGATTCAGCTTCAGAGTCATCGTCGTTGTCTTCTTCAATACGAGACTGATTTATTGGAGTTATTTTCAGCCTTTTCCAAACACTGGACACTGGAGTGCATGCAACTAAGATCTGCCGTCTCCTAGTTACTCTTAAAATAGGATCCTGGAGCTCAGACACGGAAGAACAATTTGACTCTGCTTCAGAGGTCTCTCCATCAGTACATGGTTTGTTCATTTCGGATAATGAGACTGTAGTTCCGCTCTTCCTCTTTCTGGTTTTAGGAGTTCTAGAGACTGGACTTTGTTTCCTAGTGGTTTGCGATTCAGCAGTAGTTGGGTCAACAGGTAGACATTCCTTCCTGACTTTTCGATGTGCATGAATTCTTTTAGCAGAATTCTGTTGGGAGTTTTCAGCCAACGTGGCTTGGATCGTGGCCTGAGGCCTCCTGGACCTGGTCACCACCATCCTCCCGGCTCGCAGCCACCTTGGACTAGTGCACAGCCTCCTAATCAAGGATGGGTAGGTGGGGAGGAGGGACGAGGCTATGACATAAAGAGGGGACAGTGTGCTTCTACTCTACATGGGCCCCGAACACTGGGTTCTAGGAAAAAAACCTCCACCAAACCAAGAGGAACTGCTCCTATCTGCAAACAATACTCTTTGTCAAAATTCTGATCAATTTTTTTCGCTGCGTACATACACATGAAGACAGAAAAAATAAAGCAAATAAATTATAAGAGGTTACCTGGCCATAAAGAAAATCGGGCCAGCTGTGGATGGGGAAATGAGAGGAAAGAAGATTGAAGTTCTCTGTCAACACACTACACACATGATATAAACATGCACACAAAAATTCACATATGCCCATTAAATACACATGTAAGAACCCCAGCACATGCACATGTGGGAACAGGTGTGCATGCTCACACACACACACACACACACACTCGCACATGCACACACACATCTGTCTCTTTCCACCATGACAACTCCCTGACTTGGGTGGGAGGGAGAGTAGTTCCTGATGGATTTTACATCTTTGAAAAGAAGAAAACTATTCTTAGCTCAGGGCCCAACCATTGGGAGAGCTTAGGGGGTGGCTAGGGAGGGTGGGAACAGTGAAGGCTCAAAGCCAAGCCACTGATCTCCACTGAGATCCTGGATCTGTCCTTAAGCTCATAATGTTGAGCCTCCTGAGTAGATGATGCCTGGGAAATTCTCAGAGTAACCCTCTTTGGGTCAGTATGCACATTTTGGGATAGAGTGAAAAGTTTGTTCTGACTGAGAAATAAGAGTAGAGAGAAGACTGTTTCTTTCCACTAAGGGCTGACCAACAGCTGTCATTTTAATGGTAGTAACTGACAGTAACAGCTTGGTGGCATCATATTTAATAGGAAGAGACCAGCTCACCTTCTGCCCTGGTTGCTATGTACAGAGTTCTAAGGAGGCCATAACAAAGGCTGTGAGTGTTACTGCTCAGGGTAGAAGGAAACAGGCTCTGTCCCTAAGGAAGGAGGGACCTTGCTTTGTCCAGCCTTGTTGGAATTTATGACCTCTGCAGAGTGAAGTTTATGCAAGTTGCCCAGGAGGCAGTCAAAGCCCCTTTGAGTTGTTCAGATATCCTTGACTCCAAGAGAATTGTTCAGATATCCTTCATCCAAGAAGCTTCTCAAAGTAATTACTGAACTTGGGAGATGCAATTAAAGAACCTAGGTCTCCTGTACCCATATTTAGGCATAGTGGAAGATTTCCTGGCATTTTTAAAATAGCATCAGTTTCCATTTTATCCCCTCTGGGAGTTCACTGACCCACCAGCAATTGGCTGTTCCTCGGATGAGGATAAGAAATGAGCCACATCATTTTAGTTGTGGAAATGAAAGCTCAAGCAGGTTTCATTGGCCCCCAAGGGAGAAAAGAAACATATATTTTAAGAATAAATATGTGTGTGTTTAAGAAATCAGCATACATATTTTCTTTGCTTCCCATACCATATCCATCCTGGGAAGAGAGAAATTAAGGATGCATGTTGATGAGAACTTACAGTAGGTGTGGCTGACTATGATGTCACTGGGTCCACTTCAAAAGTCAGTGCTGCTGAATGAAGGGTAGCCAAGGGCCCATGGCAGGAGGCTAACAAATCAAGTGGCTTAAGGTCAAGAGATCTGCCCCCAGGAGCCATCCAAGCTAGAGACGAGGCAAAAGACATCTGTCATTAGTGTGCATACCAAGTGTTGGAGTGTGGTAATATTAACAGATAGCACTCAGAACTAACAGTGCAGTGCAACAGTTACGGTTCTCCATCCTATAGAGTCACAATTGCCTTTAATGGCAAATCATAACTTGTCTATCCCCTATCCTGCTGTTGTAGGGAGCCTACTCTTTCACCAGATTCCTTGCCTCAGATATTTCTGATAATCCCTGTGGCATATAGGGGTGTCCCACAGGTCCATCCTGTTTGTCCCTTTTTACCTCAGTCAACCATCTGAGACTGGATCAGGTTTTTGTAGAAGACTCTTCTTAATATTTCATGATCAGCTTCTCAAGACTCATCACCCCAAGAATGGGATGTATGCATCCATTCTATCCCTAATGACAACAATCCTTACAAGAAGAGAGGTCACAGAGACAGAGAGAAGACCACATTAAGGCAGGTAGGCAGAGATTGGAGTGATATGGCCACAAACCAATGAATGTCAGGGGCCACTGAAGCTAGGAATAGGCAAGAAAGGGTCCTTCTCTAGAAGGAGCATGGCCTTTCTGACTCCTCAATTTCAAACTTCTAGCCTCAAGAACTGTTTCTATCCCTTAATTTCTATTCCTTAATTTCAATCCCTTAATTACCCAAGCATGAGCAAGACCACTCTGCCATGTGTAATATCACATTATTGAAGGTACTGGGCTCTAACAGAAGAAAACTGCAGCATGCAAAAAGTAAAGTAAATGCTAGATCATGGATATGGCTATTCCCATTATCCACAATGGTCATCCATACCCTCCCCCTGGGTCGGTTACTTCTGCTCAGCGAGACTTCTGTGGGCCACATTTCCCTTTCTTGGAGGCCAGGCCCCCAAATCCTCTGAGTAACTGCACATATATGGCCCCACAGGAAAAGGAAATATAATGTCAGTAATGTATTTCAAACACAGTAAAAACAACTTCTTACATTACAGGTACAGCAGTATTGCACTTCATTATCCAGAACATTCCATTGCAGAATGAAAAGTCAGGCTCTAGCCCTCAATTATAACAACCACATGTAACAACCACAACAATTATAATAGCAACAATAGAGCAGTGTCTACTCCATGCCAGCAATAATATTAACCACTTTTAATATATTAATACATGTAATATGTGTATATATGCATGTATTGTATATTAATATATAAAATATATAAAATATGTGTGTATATTATTTTTAATTTTTACATTGCTATTGATATTATATATTAGTCCCATTTCATGGATAAGAAAACTAAGGAGAAATAAAGTAACTTGTCCAAGATCACACTTTTGGAAAAATTAGAAATGGATTAGGATCAAGATTCTCCAAGACACTGAACCAAGCATGAAGGCTGACTGCCTTCCCCAAAGAACTAAAAGAGAAAAATGCCAAAAAATTTCTGGGAGACCTGGAGTTATGTATTTTGAACTGGCATATGGGTAAGGCTCTGGCCTTTAATAGGAAGCATAACTGCACGCTTTGGGAGGGTACAATAAGACAGGAACTCTCGGTGCTCTGCTCTTGCTCTCCTCTGTTACTGTCTTGAACAAACAATTTCTGCCATCACACACGGCTCTCGGCTCCCATCCAGGTGTTCTAGGTGACACAAATGAGGCATCTCCCAAGACATGTGTCTGCGAGGTGCTAAGAAGTAGTTAAGCGGAGATTAACTTTGAGCAGGAGTTCTCCAGCTCCTTCCCTTCCAAACTCCCAGGGCTGATTAGTTATACAATCTAAGGATGCTTCCTTCTGGTAGGCAAAGAATGAGGCCCTGACCTAAAGGCCAGAAGTGACTGGTTGGTTTTCCACGCCTGGCCTTCTCTTTCACAGGGCTTAGCTCCCTAACCTGAGCTAATTAGGGCTGTTGCAAACCAAGGTCTATGGTTGCCTGACAAAACAGTGACTATCTCAGGGGAAAAGGAGCTCACAAGCCAAAATAATAAGACATTTGAGGAGCATGCCTATTTCAAATGAAATTAGTAGGTTATATATTCCACCAAAAGCAACATATTAGCACCAAAAATTTGTTTGCCTAAGGAAAAATTTAAAAGAAATAATAGAAATTTTTTCAAAATGATGCAAAATAAGAAGAAAGCATTAAAAAGGGCCATGAAGAAATATTAGATATAAAAAGTCAAGTAGTTGAAGTAAAGAATATATATGAGAGAGACAGCAGAAAGAATTAGCTAAAGGAATGGGTTAGCAAAGGAAAGAATACACTGAGAAAAAATTCCCAGAGGGAAGAATAAAAAGCAAAAAAAAAGAAAAAAGAAAAGAAAAAGAAACCCACATAAAATATTTTTAAAAATCTAAGAGGTGATGGGGTAGAAGGAATAGAAGTGGAAGTGATTAACTCTGGGACAACAGAAATCCCTGAAAGAGGGAGCAATAATGAAGAGGAAATACTTGAAGAAATAATGAAGATGAGCTTCCCTGAATGAAAGAGAAGAGAAACATGGAGGAAGAGAAGGCTTCAGATTGAAAGGGCCAGAGAATCCCAAAGAGGAAATACAAGGAGAAACCCCACATTAGATTTAGATCTAATAAGAACATGTGAGAGCATCAAAAGCAAGGAGGAAATTGTGAACACTCCTAGAGAAAAAGGACAGATCCTGCATTAACAAGCATGGATTAAGTTATTTCAGATGTTTCAATAGAACATGAGAAACAGCCATTAAAAAAAAAAATGAATGAAAAATATTAGAGTAATGTTTTCAATGTATTGGGGAAAAAAATATCTAGAACCATAAAACCAAGAAACTGATATTCACTCAAATTGTTATTTAAATGTGCAGCGATGCTAAAAATATTCTCAAGCATCAAAACCCTCTGACTGTCACAAAAACACTCATACTGCAGTCAGTGTTGTATTAAGTACTTCAATTAGAGAAGAAAAAATTCCAGGAGATTAGTGTAAGATGTATGTGAGGTGACAGTGATGAAATATCTTAGTAGATTTTGATGTTGTTTTAAAAGTAGTTACAAGTGAAGACAAAGAGAAATTATATCCATAATAATATAGAATTAAAAGTCCAGATCGGTGATTCTCAAAGTGGACCAGCAGCAGCAGCAGCACCTGAGAATTTGTTAGAAATACGAATTGTCAGACCCCATCCTAGACATGCTGAATCAGAAACTCTGGGTATGGAGCCCAGCAATCTGTGAGTTAACCAGCCTCCCCATGATTTGGATGCATTGTTAAAGTCTGAAGATCACTGGTCTCAAAATATGGCTTGTAGAC